TGAAACTCCTGGGAGGCTGGAAGGAGAGGTGCAGTCTCATGAATGTAATCGTCGGGGAGTTCTAGTAATCGTTTGGCTCCAGACTTTTTCTGCCCAATATTGCACTGCGTGGCATAAAAAGAAGGTATGCTCGTCGTTGCTCGCGCACTTACATCGTGAGAGGGTCTTCCAAGTTGACTGACCCTTTGGTGAGCCACCCGAGGGTAAAATTTTTAGAAGGATGTTGCCATTTCAACTTGACTCACCCTTTTGTGGGCCATGCAGGGGTAAAATTTAGAGAAGGATGTTGCCATTTCAACTTGACTCACCCTTTAGTGGGCAGGGGTAAAATTTAGAGAAGGATGTTGCTCTTCCAAGTTGACTCACCCTTTGGTGAGCCACCCGAGGGTAAAATTTAGAGAAGGATGTTGCCATTTCAACTTGACTCACCCTTTTGTGGGCAAGGCAGGGGTAAAATTTAGAGAAGGAAGTGGTCATTCCAAGTTGACTCACCCTTTGGTGAGCCACCCGAGGGTAAAATTTAGAGAAGGATGTTGCCATTTCAACTTGACTCACCCTTTTGTGGGCAGGGGTAAAATTTAGAGAAGGATGTTGCCATTTCAACTTGACTCACCCTTTTGTTGGCAGGGGTAAAACTTAGAGAAGGATGTTGCTCTTCCAAGTTGACTCACCCTTTGGTGAGCCACCCGAGGGTAAAATTTAGAGAAGGATGTTGCCATTTCAACTTGACTCACCCTTTTGTGGGCAAGGCAGGGGTAAAATTTAGAGAAGGAAGTGGTCATTCCAAGTTGACTCACCCTTTGGTGAGCGACCCGAGGGTAAAATTTAGAGAAGGATGTTGCCAATTCAACTTGACTCACCCTTTTGTGGGCCATGCAGGGGTAAAATTAAGAGAAGGATGTTGCCATTTCAACTTGACTCACCCTTTTGTGGGCAGGGGTAAGATTTAGAAAAGGATGTTGCTCTTCCAAGTTGACTCACCCTTTGGTGAGCCACCCGAGGGTACAATTTAGAGAAGGATGTTGCCATTTCAACTTGACTCGCCCTTTTGTGGGCATGGTAAAATTTAGAGAAGGAAGTGGTCACTCCAACTTGACTCACCCTTTTGTAGGCCATGCAGGGGTAAAGTTTAGAGAGGGAAGTGGCCATGCCAACTTGACTCACCCTTTTGTGGACCCATGCAGGGGTAAAATTTAGAGAAGGATGTTGCCCTTCCAAGTTGACTCACCCTTTGGTGAGCCACCCGAGGGTAAAATTTAGAGAAGGATGTTGCCATTTCAACTTGACTCACCCTTTTGTGGGCAGGGTAAAATTTAGAGAAGGATGTTGCCCTTCCAAGTTGACTTACCCTTTGGTGAACCACCCGAGGGTAAAATTTTGAGAAGGATGTTGCCATTTCAACTTGACTCACCCTTTTGTGGGCAAGGCAGGGTAAAATTTAGAGAAGGAAGTGGTCATTCCAAGTTGACTCACCCTTTGGTGAGCCACCCGAGGGTAAAATTTAGAGAAGGATGTTGCCATTTCAACTTGACTCACCCTTTTGTGGGCAAGGCAGGGGTAAAATTTAGAGAAGGAAGTGGTCATTCCAAGTTGACTCACCCTTTGGTGAGCCACTGGAGGGGTAAAATTTAGAGGAGGAAGTGGCCATTCCATCTTGACGACCCTTGTAAGTGAGCAAACATGCGGGAAAGGGCCTGTGTGCGCACTTGAGTCTCCCCGATGGACTGTGTGCGCGCATGAGTCAAATCAGTGTGCGCAGATGAGGCGCAAGTGCTAACAAAATGTGTGTGCGCAGATGAGCCGCCGCCCTTCCAATAAAGCCCCGCGACAATTACATTCTTCACTAAGCCCCGCGACAATTACATTCTCCACTAAAGCCCCGCGACAATTACATTTTCCAATAAAGCCCCGCGACAATTACATTCGTTAGCATAAAAATAAAAACCCTCAGCATAAAAATAAAAACCCTCAGCATAAAAATAAAAACCCTCAGCATAAAAATAAAAACCCTCAGCATAAAAATAAAGACCGTTAGCATAAAAAAAAGAACCCACCCAAATCCAGCATAAAAAAAGAACCGTTAGCATAAAGAAAAAAACTATTCCCCTTGTAATGACCGCATGAGAGGAATTAGGAGGTGAAGTGTTTATGGCAACTATAGTGGGATTCCAAATCCAGTTGCATCTCTTGCTGCACAGTTGGTTCTAGATTTGTTGGCAATGTTCTAAGTAAATGTGATCACAATTGTTGGAACAATCCACAACAATCCACAACACCCCTATAATAGTCGTCAAGAAATTGTCTCAGTCACGGGTGTGCTCCAAACCTTGTGGTCAATATGCTCGATCCAAACAATCATGTTATATATGCTCGATCCAAACAATCATGTTATGGGTGTGCGTCCTTGTGTCTTCATTATGTTATATACAATATGATAGTCAGCTTCCAATGCTTAGGAATGCTGCCCACACGCTTCTCGGTTCCCCTTTCGCTTCGACGGAGCTAGTGGCCAGGAGATTTGAAGTTCCAGGAGGGGTCGTGAGTCGTTGGACGTTGGATTCTATGACACAAAACTTGAGCTGTGTTCCTCACCCTTTTCCATGTTTATATGTCTTAATCCAGAATGTTGGTGTTTGGTGTGTGTTTGATGAAATACGATAGAACATGATAGAACCTGTATATAGAGTCTTGGGTGGCTAAAAGAAGGTACATTGACTATTCATATGTTCCATATGTGTTCCGGCGGCCCGTCGCTCGCAATTCAACTGTCAGGTTTGTTATACAATGTTCTTGACTTTTCCGGATGTGTTTTTTCTGGTTCGTTTCCTCGCAGACCATCCGGGGATGTGGCGGTTAGCTAGCTATATATGTGTTTATAGTCAAGACGCCCGTGTATAGTCAAAGAAGGTAAGGAAGTCGCGATATTCGATGTTGTTGCAGTATGTTGCATTCGGAATTCCAAAGAATGTCAAATCGTGCATTACCTACAGCCTTTAATTGATAAACATGATCAACTCAACAGCTGCTGAAGGAGGGAGTTCTGCACTAGAAGTAGGAGAGATGCAAGTAGAAGCTGGCTGAACCTTCACTAGTTGGTGCAGGGTTTCTTCCTTCAGCTATGCTGCTGATGTAAGAAACTATGAAATCAAATCTTGCCTCCCCAAACCAGCACTCCTGGACTCCCCTAACATAGAGGTCTTTGGAAGAACTTGGTCGATGGGTCCAGGGAAAAATACAAACAACGCCCAGAGTGAGACAGGATTTCGTTCAAACAAGGACGCTACCAGGGGCTCCTGGCCTTACTACCAGGACCAAGGACGCTACTAGGGGCTCCTGGCCTTATGAACGGAACAGGGCACCACTTGGTTCTTCATCCGCACACCGACAGGAGGCCCCTGGCCTGGAGAACAAGCCCCAACTTTCGGCCATGGGTTTGACCACCGGCTCCGTGCGCTGAAGAAACGGCGGACGAAACGGCGGAAAGTCACCCGCGCCGGCGCCCGTGTGGTGCGGTTCACTGGCCCAAGAGCGTGGCAACGCTGAAGAGCGATGGCCATTGGATGATGTGGGTCAAGCATATGACCTTTTAGGCCCTTGCTTACTCTCAGTCTCTTAGAGTCGAACAATGAAGGATCACTTGCACAATAATTGGCATACTTACCGCAAGCAGTTGGAGTGCAACGATGCCAGTGTATTTCTAAATGCAGTCTTTGGGTGATAATTACAGAGGCATGTGGTTGGATTATTGTTGGATCATACTGTCCAAGGGTTGAAACAGAGGTCCAGCCCAGCAGACGATGTCCCACACCAGCAGACGAGGTACGCTACACCGACGACCAGCAGATTCCCGCGCTCTTTGGATATCCAGCGACTTGGATGGAGACCTAGACCGCGGACATTGCTTAATGATCGTTAATGATTGATAAGATGTGCTGTGTATTACAATACCCGAACACTCCATGTATGGCATATATGCCTACATTTGGGTTTCAGGGGTCAATGTAGGCATATATAGCATGCATGGAGTGTTTGGGATATGGATAATGAATGCTTGTTCATATATCGGCCGTAGGGACAGCACCTGGAAATCACCCAGTCAGCCCGGGGAAGATCGCCAGTCAGGGGTCCTCTTTTCTATTTAAGCACACCTCATAGGTTTGACATCTCTGTCTTTACCTTACCGATGGACTGCCGGTGTCTTCACGGATATCATCCCGTTGGGACGGATGCTCCACATGGGTGGGTGCATTCAGCAAACGAAGGGAGTCGTCGGGGCTTGGCAAACTCCAAGGCATCTCCCTAAAGCTCCAGTCGTACCTTCTAAGAAGATGTTTGAGTAGGTTCAGAGGGTCCAAATACCTTCTGAGGAGATGGCTGGAGCCCGAGGGTCTCAGATTCAGAGGGCGAATGAATGAGATGAAGCCGACGACTCCTGGGGCCGTAGCCCTCCAATCGGACGGCGGTTCTGGCTGGAAGGCTGGAAGGTGGAAGGGGTCTGCGCCCACTAAACGGTGTCGGGTCCGGGCAATTCCCAAGGAAAAGCCCGAAGATGAATGGATATGAATGGGAGAGATGTATACGGCCCTATTTTATGAGGGATGGTTTAGTATTGATGAACACCTCCTAAGCTGAACCTGAGCCTCCAAGAGGCTGAGACATGAGACGTTCCCTGCCCCGCCCAGGTCTTGAGTGAAGTGGCCACCGGAAAGCTAGAGCACCTGGAGTGGCGGTCCGAAGACGACGAAAACGGCATCGTCCAGTCGTTCGGCAACTCGGGTGGTTGGGAGGGCAACCCGAGCAAAATCGCTCGCGAGATGAATGAATCACCCCATCATCCATCGCAAGAATCCAGCAGATTCTGAATATTGTTGACCTAGCTTCGAAGATTTGCTGCAGCATCTTCAACTAATGAACTAACGTACAATAAACGTCATTAGTCATTAATCATTCAATGGTGGCAAATATTTAAATGTACCCACTGATTCTTTGGGAGAGAACGAGTCTCAAGACATCTTAAGACCCTTCTGAATGAGTAATCATCATTTCCTCAACGAGCTTGTTTTACACTGGAGGTCATGAGTCTGATCAACAACTCCCTTGCACAGGTCGACAAATCCTTCATCCACTCAATCTGCAAACGCTGTCATCGCTGACACAAATATGGCTCGATCCCAGCTTAAAGCTTCTGGGAAAGGAGTAAGGAGAACATATTAATGGAATGGGGTAAGCGAATGCCCCAAAGCATCGAATGATTCGACTGGAGCTCGTCAGGACGTGAGTGAAGCTTTGAAGATCGAGGGTGTGGTGGACGTGGTCACCGCAGCGGACTGGGAAATGACTTTGGGAGTTTTGGAGTGATTTGGTGGAATTCTCGAATCTAGACCTATAGACTGGATGGGCACATGAGTGGTCAACGTATGACCATGTCGGGACGTCCTTGACATCCCGACGAGACATCTCGTTTGACCCGGTTGATCGACGCCTCCAGGACATCCCCGGCAAGAACTGCGCTGGATTCGTTCCAGGCCGTGTGGGCGCGGCGTAGCTTCGCGGCGTTCGGAAGACGCGTGTGGGCGCGAAGCGGGAGCGGGGGCAGGTACCAGGCCCAGTTAAGAGGAGCTAGAGATGCCAGCACCAGCTAGAGACTCCAGGTATGGAATCACAGTCTAAATCATAAAGGATTTATAAGTTGCATTGATACGTACCTCAAAGTATACCGTCAGTCTTCCAGTCGCCTGGAATGTTTAGGGGAGTTTCTTCAGAGAAACAACAACATCAACATCAACAGCAGCAACAAATAGCTTCACTCTGTTCAGTTTCAAGCTGCCATGGAGCTGTACAAAAAGCTCCTTACCCAAGCTAAGCTCAGCTTCCGCTATGGGCGCTCCATGGAGCTGTTTGTTAATTTTGTTCCCACCCGTTTTGTTTTGTGAAATACGGGAAACATACGTGGGGAGAGAACTCCATGTTTGGGGTTATATAAAGTATTGATATGTTTCGTGTGTTTGCTGTTTACCAAATGTTTACTCTCTTTGCCTTCTTCCAGGGGTGTTGTTGCCTACAAGGTCTTGCGATGCACTGTAAAGGCCTACTGGAAGATCCCGACTCTTACATCAAGGATCGCGATACACCGTAGTGAACCGGGATAGCATGACCAAGTGCCAAATCAATCATTGTCCCTTTTGTTCTGCAGGAGAAGAGCCAGTCTTCGCCGCTGGACGGTATTGCAGGAAATCTGTGCGTGTTCTTTTTTTCCCTGGTAAGATGTGAGAGATGAGATATTGCCGGACGTTTTTTTGGAAGGTGAAGAGGCGTTTTCCAGCGGTTGTGGCCATGACTTGGAGAGTCGTAGGGAGCTGCAAAAAGAATGGATCAGGTGACCAGATGAACATGAATTTCTGCAAATGTTCGTCGATGATCTTCAATGAAGGGTGCCGGTACTTGCTTCATCTGGGTTCCATCCCCAATTCAGCCCATCGAAGGGTTATCAGGTTGCCAGATCTGTGCTTGTACATGCAGGCAACAAGAAGTCCATTGGATATTCTGGGCTTATCCTCGCTCACTGCTTTCATTCACTTTTTGTCCATCCCTCACCGACACGGCCGCGCTTGAGCTGAGGTTGAGATTGGCGAGACGCTCGGTGATTGGCGAGTTCTGACAGGCTGCAGGAAAGGCAGTTCTTCTGGTGCACAGAAGTAGGGAAGGCAGATTGCATGGTAGATCCGCCCCGTTCAACCAAGGTTTGTTGGGAACCCCTTGTCTGAACCGTGTGCAATGTTCTTGTTTCAATAACAATTTATAAAGTCAAACCACAGCGACTCGTGACTTGCTGAGCTACAGATGTTGGTCTACCACTTTGTGGAGTGGACCTTCGAGTATGGCTCCGAAACCACACTTCGCAGCTAAGGAAGATCATGACTTCCGGCAACTTGGATTGACATTTATCGCTTCCGCGACGGAGCAGAGAAGATGGCAGAATCCACCAAAAAGGTTGTTCAATAACGTTGGACTCTGGACTCCTATCTAAAAGACTACTTTCTAGGGGATCCTGGGGGTTTGTGCCATCTACTCAGAAACCACTCTAGATACATGGGATACCCAGCCAGGCTGCTGAACAACTACTCCATCCACTTTTTGGAACAATTGTTTTCTATTCGTAAATTGCACTAAACAGTGAACATCAGTGAACTAAGTGAACTAATTGTATTGAACTAAGTGAACTCAACGACGTGGCCGTCCCACATGTCCATTTGAGTCTTCCCACCCACCCCCACCCACCTCTCGCTATGGGACCGGTCGGTTCGCTCCATGGTGAAATGACCGATGGACTCTTAGTATAGCTGGTAGCCAGTAACCAGACTGGCTTATGGTGACCAAAGAGCAACAAACACAGCCATTAAGCCTACATTGTTTCAGCCACCCTAATGAGAGTGTTTGAGATAGGCCGCTTTGACGATGTCCTCTACAAAAGGCTTTTCCACTTTCATGGTGAGTCGCAGTCTAGGCCTCGTGTTTGGTTTAAAGAAAAAATAACTGCCTTTTCACTAACCTCTATCCGACTTCATCCTTCAACCTGTTCGCAGGTCAACAGCTGGCGCTGGTGGTGGCGGATTCCTATCGCACGGCCAAGCGAGGCGCTGGCGCGGTGCAGGTGAAGATCGCCAACGCCAACGAAGGCCCCGACAGACGACGGGCGGGAGGGCGGGCGAGCGGATGGTCCGATGAGCTGCAAGACAGAAGGATTGGAGATGGGGTGGTCCGGAGTTGTAGTTCCTCTCTGCATGGGAGGAAAACGTCCCATGTAAAACGTTTGATGCTGGTGGCATGTTGCAAAAACCATATTGGATCCAAACACGAAAGCCCTAAGTCCGATGCGACGTTCGGAAGACATTGGATGAAATTGGCACTGACTTGATGGTGCATTGAGGCGAGTGTCAGAACTGGATTTAGCAGATTTTGTTTCTTGGAAGCTGTATAGACTCTTTGGCTAGCGCCTTGCAAAATGCGTCGCTGCTGCTAGAGCCTTCCAAAATGATATCATATAAGTCGAAAAATAGAAACACCCAGAACATGATTGGCTGTGATCTTCGCCGAGCGAGTTTCGATCGATGCCGAGTCCTCGTCAGACGACCTTTTCGGCCTCGTTTCGTCAGACGCGATCATTACTCTCGACCAAGCGATCGCTGCGGAGTCCTACCTGGACGAAGCTTGGCGCTGTGCGCTGTGTCCTGCGTGTGGTCACGAGATGCCGTAATCCAGTCTAGGACAGTTTCAGGGTTCAGGTGCAAACACCATCCTGGTTGAATTCACCATCTGGTGCAAACACCATCCTTCCTTTTGAACCCTGTGATGGCTTCCAAACGCCGCCAACGCACGCCTATCGCACGCCTCCCTGGCACCGCCCTCCTTCCGACCCTCAGCGCTCCACCTGCCGAGAGCGCGCACTTCCGCAATACCGTGGACAAGGGCGATTTGGAGGAAGGCTTCAAGGCCAGTGACCTCGCGCCTCGGGCCATTCTTCAAGACTCATGACGATTTTGGCACGGGCGGGTCTGGACATCTGGGTGTTGAAATTCGAGGGTCTATATAGAATTGCTGTCTTTTTGGAGGATAAGGCAAGATATACAGGGAGATGTCCGGGAGGTCCCATTAAGCGCATGTCCGGGGTGTGAGGACAGACGGGATGTCCCATTCACCGCCCCAAACCGGCGGAGAACCTCGTTCTCCACGTCCGGTTTGAAGAAGGAAACGCCCCGGAGGAACCGCTATGGCCGCCATGCAAGATACATAAGGCACACACCCAACACCAACACGTGGAGAGCCTGGACCCGGGATCTTTTTTTCAACATTTCAGGACATTATTTATGTAAAATTTAATGTAATTCCAATCATTATTCTGCGTGGGATTTCGGAATATGCCTCAAACACTCCCCTGCTACTGTATGCAGAGGTCCAGGATGCTGTCTTGGCATTCCTGGTCAGGTAAGCCAAAATCATCATATTCACTCCTGACTCCCAGCACGGGTTGGGGTCATGGACCCCTTCCACTGGTTGACCAAAAGTCCATGTGCTGCGATGTGATTTTTGTTACCCTATAGGGCTCCAGTGGTACCTTCCTTTCGGTTCGGACAGACGGGGCCCGGGCCAGGAGGGTCCAGTCCCTGAGGAGCTATGACTGTGAAGTCACGTGGCGTCACGCGCCGTGCGTCACGTGCCGTGCGTGACGCGTGACGCGTGTGTTGTGAGGTCTTTGAGGGGACTACCTACGTCATCGGACAGCATGCCTTCCCTTTGGAGAAGCAAACTGCGCTGGCCGTGCCCGAAGAGAAGAAGGGCATGACGGTCCCTCACTCGGCGGGTTTGGTGGTTTTTCAGATTGTTCTTTTTTGTTCTGTTTCCTGGGGTGGTTCTTCTTGTTCATGTGTTTGTTGTGGTGATATCGTTACAATGTTCATGGTTTTGTGAGTTTTCTGTATAGTGTGATGTTGGCTGATTTGTTGTTGGTGCCTATGCTACTCCTAACATATTGATCCATCGCTGAAATCACGACCTATTTACAAACACCTGACCTAATTATGCACTATATATCACCATTAACATCCCCCTGTCAATTCCTGCATGAAATGAAGGGGGGCCGGCTCATTTTTAATGAAGTATGACCCCCACGGGGGTGGGGGGGTTGGCTCCTGATTTCATAGAGAAGATGTGGGTTTTATAGCATTGCATTCAGTGATTGAAATATTAAGTATGTTTGCTCATACTTTGGCTTTTAGATGCTTTTCATTCACCTGTTTCAGGGGTTCGATGCACTCGTTTTATAGGGATTCCATTTGGGTGGGGTAATCATTTTATATACCAAGGGGGGTGGTCACCCTCACCATATCTATAAAAAACATTGACTATAGGACCTACATAATTTTTTTTCATGTTCTCACTCATGTTCCCTTCCACCATGGGTGTCCCTTTCCTCGTTTCCTTCACTTCGCCCCGTCCCGACCGCCGCTCCGCCGCGTCCCTTTCCTCGGTTCAGGTCTGGCACTCCACGCAGGGCCACGACTTCACACGAGCCAAGCACCTCGGGCGGTTGGGACGATGCGTCGCAAAAACACGTCCCAAACCTGCGTGGAAGCGCGGAACCGCGGACATCCGCCTCTTTTTGGGTTCTGCGATTGGGAGCCAGAGCCGGACATATATCGGATTTGGTTCCAAATCGCTGGCAATTCAGCTGTTGGGAGGATGGAACGCAAGTTAGCAAGCGCAGCTTGATGCAGGGCTGTATGTAGCTTTGCTTGTTGGTGGCCGGACAGTCCAGGTATTGGAAACAGATTGTATCTTGAGTATGAAATAGATTTGATTTGTATATAATTTGGAGGTGAAGGACGTGGAGCTGAAGCAGATCACTGCATATACATCCCAATTTGAATGGACCCAGTTTGGAGTTCTCAGAGTGGATGTTCCGAGATCAGAACCAGATATGTTTCAAGCAAAATGGGCGAACCCAGATATTGTACCATAACAGTTGGACCCAAATTGGAACATCGGTCCTTCTCTTCGGATCCGTCGCGAGGCTCGCGGGAGTCCTGGGTGTCCCTGGCTCCTCCGTGGTGCCCTGGCCGGTCCGACGGACGAGAGTCCGGTCCCCGGTCCCGTCAAGAAAAGGAGGTCACATACCTCTTTGGAGTCTGTAATGATACGGTGACCTCACTTCGGGACAAATCGTGACGGACCCACTGGGATCTCAAATCACGAACTGACGGTCCTGGTATATAGTCAACTTGAAGACGTGAAGCTATTCCGAACCCTTGTTGTTTCGTTGCTTGTTTTGTTTTGGGTGGGTGGGTCAAATTGTTCTTGGTGTCCATTGCATGGATTGGGCAGCGTCCCGACAGTCTAAAGTCGTCTCAATAATTTGTTCATACTTGTTCTAGATGTTGCAAGGCTTTACGTATGAAAAGCTGTGTGTGTGTTATGGTTCGGCTGCCCCATGAGCTCACGTGTTGATCACATGTTGATGCAGTCTGAGAATTCAGAGGATGGACCTGCGTCGTTTAGCATTTTGCATGCCTGGGGCTCTGAGGCCAAGAAGAAAGGAAGACAAGACCCTGAACCTTCAAAGGTAGCAGACATTTCATAAAATTCATGTTACAAATATTAATGAAGCTCCTCAATTAAAGGAAAGTGGTCCAACTTTCACTCGGCCTTTCCCTTTTGGAACCATTTCAGGTCCATTCCACCCCGATCGCCTTCATTGGACTCTTCATTGGTTAGTTTCCATCTGTTGAAGACTACTGACCAAGGTGAGGGAGAACCAGGTGGAGGGAGGTTGAGAAAAGCACTTAAAGCACATGCTAGACGCAATTGCGTCTCATTTAGCTTTTTCAAAGTGATCAGTTTTGGAGTTCCCTAGTGACCTCAAACCCAAGTACAGTAATTACGCATGGCCTCGATCTGATTTTTGAAGGATTTTCCCAAACCAAGTCCAGGAAATGGATACCTGGCAACATCCTGCAACCGTATAGGAGATTAATCCGCCTGGCCCACCTGAGCTCTGGCTTATGCGGATTACATGCGAATTTCCCCTGGCCGCTTCGACTGTTCCCACCCGAGGTGTGCAAGCAAAGCCGCGCGGGCGGCGCCTTTGGTCCCAAGAACAGCCGCCAGGTGCCGACGGCCGCCATGGCAGCGGTGGCCGCGCACAAGTGGCCCGAAATGGAGTCGGTCAGCGAGACAGGGGGAGGTCTATAAGGCCTATGGGGATCCTGGAGGGGCCTAATCTAGATAGATCATTTGAAATGGCACCAATATATCATTGTCATGGCCTTTTTTCAAGAAAACATGCCAAACACGGCGGCGTGATGTTTTGTGTCGTCCAACTATACTTACATCCTCAGAAGGTCAGAAGGTAGTTGGAACTCTGAGTATCTCCAAACACCTCCTCATGATGCGATTCGGAACAAGCCGACGTCTCGGGTCGCCGCAGTGGTATCAGTTTTTGTTCCCCGTGAAACAGGGAGCCGTAACCGGAGCAAAAAGGTAGTTTGTCCGTCTTTTGTCCGTTTTATGTTTATGTTTCAAGCAGATCAGTGTAAACATCATGTCAGGCAGTGGCCAGCCTCCCAGATCCCAAGAGACCCCCTCAATGACTCCCTCACTTAGTGAGAATTCCAGACCGGTCGGGCTTGGTGTTTTTTCGGCATGCGACCAAGCGGCGTGCAGATCGGCATTGGCCCCTTGGCACCCATCCCATCATTGGGGGTCACTGGGGATCCTGATATTGCGGACAAATCCATGGTCCCTCATAACATGCCGGACAAATCCGGGCTTTGGTAGGCAGGGTCACACTCTTTGTGGCGACAAGATCCGGTGCATGCAGAACAACAATGGGATCTCCCAAATGAGGTGGTCACCTCATGCCACAAGATACGGTGCATGGTCACCCAAGATACAGCGATCTGCCCAAGAAATCCCGCTTGGGGAGGTCATGAGAAGCCCCATTTGCATGGGCCCGTGTGAGGGCACGGGTCATCGAATGGAATGTATCCCTTTTGCCTCCAAGAACCAACCAACTCTAGATAGAACTCCTGATCAATCGTGCTTCCCTAGAGCCCTAGAGCCCACGAAGACCCGGGCTTTGATAGGAAAGGACAATGTTTGTTGGTCACTCAGGTTCTAAATCGGATTTGTTGTGGATTTGTCCCTTCTCCTTAGCAGTGAGGGACACAGATGGGAGCCTATCCATTTGTAGTTTGCCGTTGTGTTCTGCGGAGACTGTTGCATCGAGATAAGAGGGCACCTTTGGACAATCTTGGTCTTAGCATGTCTTAGCTCATTCCTAGCAGCCTTGGTTTTGAATAGTGGGACTAGCACCTATAGTTGGTGTCTCCAATATGCAGCACCTTCCCAAAAGGATCCTTCTTTGATCCAAGCAGGCACTCATTCTGAGGCTAGACAAGGCAGTGCGTGTGGCTTATGAAGCTACCCTGGAGCAGTTAGCGGTCGGCGGCCGACACAGCTTCAAGACGCAGTACAAGGCCGTCCGCCACGTGGACCGTGTGGACGTGCGGTGCGGTGCGTCTCCGCATGATGTGTGGGGAGCATCATCTTGGCTTGATTGGAGGTTGTGGGGATAAACACTTATTATATAATATATTAATATCACATGAACCGAGGTTGCTTGTTTATTGCAAATTGAAGGCAACTTGATCATCAATGACCTCCATGCCTAGAGCCCATTTGAGCCCTGTCTTGATAGGAAACGACCATATATATAATTAGGGGTCCAAAATAGAGGTCAGTCAGGTTCTATATAGGTATGCGGCGTATATACTTTGGATAGTCATCCAGCCGCCCTGTCCATCTCCCTGGTAATTTGGATCTCAAAATTATGGTCCCGGGGGGAAATGGCGATGGTAGCGAGCTCTTTACTCGCCCTTGGGAGAGCGAATCGCTCGCTCGCTCGGGCTGACGTGCTGGGGAGGTTGGTGTGAACAAGGACGGCAAGATCCAAGCGTGGCTCGGCAGAGACGATCCGCGCTCCGGCGGCTTGGGCGGATCTCGCACGTGATCCCGGCACTGATCCCAAGAGGTCCCAGGGGAACACGGACATACGACGTGGGCGAAATGAAACGGATTCCTTCAACCGGGGTGGTGAACCGGTTGACCGGAGCACATTGGGGAATGAATGATGGAATTCATTTGAACATTGGTCCGGCTCAGTTTGAGCAGCAATCGATTCATATCTTCTTTGTTGCAATGAAGAACAATGTCCCTTACGAATCTCAGCCAAGATGCCTAGACTTGACCAAGAAAGATAAGAACACAAACAGCAAACTTGTGCGTCTTTGCGTCTTTGGTGGTTATTCTCGACCCCGGTCCAACACCAGGTCTGAACTCTCCAGCCAGCTGAGTGGGTGCGCCCAGTAGCCTCATAGACCATACCCCCCCACCAAAAAAAAATTACGGCCACCAAACACCTTGCATAAACCTTGGCAACCACCTCTTTGTCTCCTGCATCGCCCCTCACACAGTGTCTTCGCTCGTCTCACTTCACAGGTGCAACGTGGAATCCTGGTGCAACGGCGGATGCACCCACGACTTCACAGGACGCGAGTCACGCCGTGAGCGACTGGATGCGACACGGTCGGACGGACTGGATGCGCGGTGCGTTTCTTCGGTGAAGGGATATTTCTTTTTGAAGTGGTTTAGGGCTCGAGATCGCCGTCGACGGACGGAAAACTTTTGAAGCCCCAGTGCAAAGGCACGTGTTTTTCCTTTCGCGGTCCTTACTTGCCTGAGCCATACCTCACCCTCGCTCTCCGGGCTGGCATAGGCACTTACGCGCTGCTAGGGCCAGGGCTCGCAGATTCCTGAGATCTGTACGCCACTCTGGAAAGAGGCTTTCAAGTCTCTGGACTAAGGCTGTCAGCTGCAAGGCCTTCCTTGAAAGGCATCATACAAGACCCGTCTACAAGCTCCACTACCCGGGAGCTGTGCCAGGGATGCCATGGAAGGGATATCCCTATCAGCAGACATGGTCGACCCAAGACTGGACCTGGGAGAAGCAGCCTCGGAAGAGGGACAAGGGCAAGGCCAAGACAGAAGAGGGGACAGTCATCTACGACTACGAAGGAAAAAGAATCGATGTACAAGGAGCTTCTTCGCGGGCCTCATCTGCATGGTCTGGGCCTGGTCAAGCCGAAGCTGCCTTAAAAGAAGAGAACAAGAAGTTGAAGCAGGCTTTCCGAGATTTGGCTGCTCGTGTCAATCCCCGAGATGGTCTGATCTCAGACGATGTCAAAGACATCATAGAGATCGACCCAAGGGAAGATCTGAAAGAGAGGCAAAGGCTCCTCAACGAGGAGCGCAAGCAGCTGAACAAAGCCACCAAGTTGAAAGACACACTGCAAGAGAAGGAGTCCAAGTACAGCCAATGGAAAGCAGATATGGAAGCTGGACTCAAGATTGCAGAAAAGAAGCACTCCCATCAAGTGGCGGAGCTCCAGGAGGCTGTAAAATCGGCCGAGAAAGGGGAGGAAGCTTTGCAAGTGGATTCAGACTCCGAGGTGGATGGGAATCCAGCCAAGATGGAGATCAAGATCCTGAAAGACCAATTGCAGCATTTTATGACCTATGCTGCCAGCATGGAACAACGACAGCAACAGATGCAGGAACAAATGATGATGGTGCTCACGGCAATTCAGCCGCAGAATGGACCGATAGGTTTGGGGCGAATGTCCCCTCAGCAGCCGGTCCGTGTAAAAAGAGAGCACGAAGAAGGAAGTGGAGAGGACTGGAAGGACAGAAGACGCTCCAGATCTCGACCTCGTCGAGACGAGAAAGAAGTGGTGCTTCCGGTCGATGGAATCGAAGTTCTGGACATGCAGACGGTCAAGGAGAATATCGAAAGCTTGCCAGAACCTTGTCAGTTGAAGATTTTAGACATCCTCAAGGCAGACCCGGGTGCATTCTGCACCTTGGAACAGCTCCAGAGCCTGATCGATGTGCAGATGAAGGAATTCCAAGCCAGTTTGAAGCCGCAGATGGGGTCAAGTGCAGCCCTCATGCCTTTTGGAAAGGTGGGTACTCCAAAGGCAAGGAGAACGGCAACACCTTATGTCTCCCCCAATTCGACATTGAAGGCTGCCGGGAAGACTGCGGCTTCGCCATTGGGAGCTATGAACTAGCAACTCAAGGGAGATGTGTTTCACTGAATGATTGCGCCAGATTTCAAGGCAGCAATGAGCTTCACCCTAGTTTCCTTGCTATACCAGATGGGTCTGGTACAGTGCTTTTTTCTCACATGCTTGTACCGGAGAAGGATGTCACGATTTTCGATCTTTCTCAAGTTGCACTACAGCAGAATTTGAGTGCTGCCAATTCTTCATATGAGCTTCGAAGTTTCAATAGCGAAGACGATAAGAGTGGCAGTGTCAATCAAGCCAATTTCCAAGAAGAGCTGCACGAGGAATCACGGCGGATTGTTGCAGCTGTGCCTGTGTGGGTCTGGAGTGTATCCAAATCCTTGAGCATTTTCCGGGGTGCTGCACAGTTCGTTGGCCTACAATGTCTCTTTTTTCTTTGGGCTTGGAGCTTAGTTTTTGGTGCTAAGGCAATTTTGGGAAGTTTCCAATCTGAGTTCCGATCCGTGAAAAGGCACAAGCTGTACCGTTGTCCTTCGAGACACTTTCTTGTTGAAGCAGGTGCTTATTTTGCTGTGTCGGCCAGCATACTTCTTGGAGCTTTTGAGTGTGTGAGAACGCCGGATGATGAGCACCCTTGGGTTCACGTGCTCTTCGGTTTGAGATCTCTTCACTTTCTCTGGGGAGGTTTCCTGATGTTTTGCACAGTTCTTAGATTGTATTGCCTTCGCTCCCCTAGGTGGCCATATGCATGCCGTCATGTGTGCAAAGCCAGACACTGTTCGACGCATGGTCGAGCCAAAAGCATTAAGATGAAGGGACTCTTTATGCTGGCGAACCTTGTTTTTGCGAATGCCCGACCTCTGACCGAGAGAGCACTGGGTGCTCCAGGCTTTGAACAAGGTTTTGATATGACCAAGAGTAACCATGATGGTTCCGCTCTTTGGCCAATTTGCACAACAAGTAAGGGAAGAGATGGATGTTTCTGCTTTCCCCACTGCGTGAGTCACTGGGATGATGCCGAATCTCCTGCTCCACAGATTGCACTGCTAACGACCTACCAGAGTTATAGCAGTCCACATCCAAGCCGTCTGTCCTCTCAGCCTTGCGGGACTGACGGGCTGCACTGTCTTTTGAGACTTGACGCAGAAGGCTTTGTCCGAGATTTCTGCTTTGCTCCTAGGTTTTGTCTTGAGTCAGTCACGACAAGTGTGAACTCATCAAGGTTTTGTGAAGTGAGCAACCGGATTTCTTGTGCACATGTTCCTCACTGTGGTGAACTTTGTGCTGTGCATGTCTCAATCCCACATTTTGATGCCAGTGTTTCACTGCCAGGTAGTGGGAACTACGAAGCTATTCCTAAACCGAATATACGAGACTCTGCGGAAAATGCCATGCAATATGAAGATGCAGCTTTGATGCAAGTAGGGCCACCGACCGAGGATTTGATTGCACGATATATCCGAGAAAATGCGATCAATTTCCGAGACACGCAGATCATTGTATGGTTTCACTCCGCTGAGTCACTCAGACGAGTTCAGGCGACCTTTCAATATGTTGCCTACATTCATGACCTCCCGGCTGGACCTCAATGTCGTGCCTGTTGGGCGAACATGCTTGACCGCAGACTGTGTTTTGTACACCCTGTACGACCGGTCCCGCCACAAAATCCAGTTGATCTACCCCAGGTGATTGTGACTCCTGTAAGGGATGAACGACTTGTGCCTGTCCTGATTGACTACATTTCAAGAGATGTCACCTTCCGTGGAACGTTTCTTCTTCAGATCACCGCGGACCCTGTTGTGAACTCGGCCTTCATCCAAATCAATCCTCACAACCAATGTGTTTGGCAAAATGATTGTTTTGTCATACTGCAAAGAAGAGCCGGGCCTGAGCACTACCAGTGGGGAACGAATTTTCCTCTTTTTGAAGGATTGTACTTCATGATGGTCGAACAGACTCCTGAGTCGAGCACGGGATCATCAACTTGCGACCAGTCTGGTGATGATTCTAACACTGATGATGACACTGATGACGAAGAATCACAGGACTCTTGTCGTGCTCGACTAGAGCACCCTCCAGAGCTTCAGTTGCCTGGTTTTTCACTTGTGCAGACAGAATGGGAGCTTCTTTTTGAAGAGGAAGAGCAATCCTTCCGTGACCATCTCGGATTGCCAAGCCAGAGTAGTCGCGAAGATGAATTCTGGTATCCTTCTACTGGAGTTGTCCCAATTGAAGAGCATACTGGTGTTTCTGACCGACTGGAACTGATGCTTGAATCACTAGGGCTAGTTGAACCGGGGCAAACATTGGCTGTGACCACCTGGATGACCGAGCTCTATGTGGCTATCCTGCCTCGAACTTGTGTCTATCAACCAGGCAGGCCGATGACCAAAAGTTTTGCCACGGTATGGCGGGACTTTGAAGACCACTCGCCGTTTTGGGTTGCTCATGTGACGCCGGTTCCGCAGCCTTTGAGTTTCCAAAGACAGCCTTTGCACTTAGCCAGTCTTACGAGAGCACAGAAAGAGCGTAAGCAGAGATTGTTCATCATTGATATTGTCTTTCGAGGCCTGCCGAAGAGAGCTGGAGTGCTGGTAGATAGAGGCGATACAGTGCGACAGATTGCCATCAAATTTCAGCTGGCACATTTGTGCTCGCAAGAAAACTACCGATGTGTCTTGCGACAGACTCGGAATGGTCAAGACAGGGCTTGGGGCTATTTCGAAACGGTAGAAGAACCTCATGGCTCTAGTTTTGTTCTGCACTTTGAAGAGAGGAATCGGGCTAGCTGTGGATGCACGTCTGATGAGACTGATGCCAGTATGCTCATGCAGAGGCCCCGTTCCTGGCACCCTTCGCCCTTGCAAGTATATTTGAGGGCCTTCAGTTCGAGCCGTATCCCTGTTTTCATTTGGGTCCATCATGGTGAGAATGAACTGGTCCAGCATCAGTCGGGGACATGTTCGGTCGATGTGAGGCATGATGTGGAATCCCAATGTGAACATCATTGGATGACAAGTGGCCTTCCTAGATTTAGCAGAGTCACTGAGATTGATCCTCCTCCTGTTTTGATTGCTGTCCCCAGGCCTCATTTAGTGGTCACCAGTTCTTTTGATACGAGTGATGTGCCTGTTCTGTGCCAGTCAAACATCGATGGAAGAGTCAGTTTGATGACACTTGTGGTGAGCGCCAGATATCCACCTGTCTCTGTATCAGAGATTTTCGCACTTGCGATTCCTCAACATGATTGCGAACATGCTTCTGAATGCTATATCCTCTGGGAACTTCGGCGCTATGAATATCATCATGATATTGCACCGCTCCATGGTTCCTTTCTGAGGGTAGTTGAATGGACAGTTGAAGGTTCAGATGTTTCTACTGGTGTCTGCAGCGATGATATCATTGATGATGATACTGCTGATTGGGAGTCAGACTTCTCAGGCAGGCATTATCGTGTTTTG